CTTTAAACCCATCCCTATCTAAGTGAGTGAGTGATTAAATGTTGAATGTGATGAGTTTTCAACAATACTAAATTAAAAACTTTATTTTTTTTACATGGTTTAATATTTTTTTGTTATTAAAATTGAAGTTCCTGTTTCAAAGCTTACAGATAGATGACTAATTTGTATGTCATTGACACTTTTGGCACTTTTTTGGAGTATTTTCATAAGTGTTGTTTTTTCCTGTGAATGATTCAATAAATACCATACCGTGACATTCATACCGAGGTATTACCGTACCGTGAAATTCTGATACCGTTACATCCCTAGTTCACAATAAAACAAAATCCATACAAAACATTTTTATTTTTCAGTGTCACATTGGCTAATTTTTTCACAGTTATACACACAATATTAAAGCATATTGAGTATCATTTAGGGTGGCACGGTGGCTCAGAGTTAGCACTGTCGCCTCACAGCAAGAACAAGGTCGCTTGTTTGAGTCCCAGCCGGGTCAGTTGGCATTTCTGTGTGGAGTTTGCATGTTCTCACCTTGTTTGTGTGGGTTTCCTCTTTGAATAATCTGTAGTGAATGATTGTGTCTGTGTGTGTAAATGTGAAGAGTGTATCAGTGTTTCCCACTACTGGGTTGCAGCTGGAAGAGCATCCACTGTGCATAAAATATGTCAGAATAGTTGGCGGTTCATTCTGCTGTGATGACCCCTGATAAATAAGGGACTAAGCCAAAGGAAAATGAATATCATTGAATGCTTGTACAGACACTTAAGCAATAATGCTTTCCCAAACACAAATCTGCTAAACGCATCCATCATAGCCTCATTTTCATTCGTATCAAATGAAATGCGTTCCTTTCCAGTCTGTTTCTATCTAAAATATGTCTTTTACAGTTACAGCCTTACGCCATACTGATATAAATCTTGTAATGACCATGAAATCGCATTGAATCATACATGGCCGGATGAGGTTTACACAGATGTTCTTTGATCTGTTACATGTGAGAGCAAAGCCTCTGTTTGCCATTTCTCTTTTAACGCGCAGTGAGATCAGAAGCCGCAGAGAGGCCAGAGATGGATCGCTTTCTGACAGAGACCAACCTTCATAAACAGAAACGGTTGTTGCCGGTCTGTAGAAACTTTAGACCACATTTCTTTTCATGCTAATCTTTATGTGATATCAGAGTCTAACATCGTGAGTTCAAATCAAGATTATTTCAGTAAACCAAAACGAAAACCAAAACTAAAATGATTGGGTCTCACACAGACAAACACATCAGCTAAAAGCTTGATTATTACACACAAAAACATCTTCACTATAGACTACTTTTATGTGGTGATGCTATTGGTCATTGAACATATCCTGCTTGTTTTCAAACTATTTTCTAACTGTAACAAGCAGCAATTCAATCATATTGTCAAAGTCACCAGCGATACAGCCTGTGCAGATTGCTGGTATACACACGGATCGCTAACGGACTACAAAGCCGCCATTTCATGGACTATAAGATCCAGTCATGCACCACGCACACACAGCGGTTCCTGATCCTGACTGATTGCATACACACAGCTGGAGGATTGTCAAAGACTGATTGCATGGACTATAATGTCAGCACACATACACACAGAACTGGCTGAGTCTTGTTATACTGAACTGTGAACCTTACGATGCATTTTCCTTGCCTTGTCTTCGTTGTTTGAACCTCGCGTTGTTTGTTTATTAAGGATGATTCATCGGAAAAATCGGCCTTCTGCCACTTTTCCAAATGATCAACTTGAAGTCAAGTAATTATTTGTTGCTCTTACAACTGAGATCGACAACAAGACTTTAACAGGTAGCGTGTAATAATCTCAGTCCAGATCTCTTCAGTATCAATCCTGAAGAATTTTGCTCTAATAAGCGTTCTTCCTCTACATTTTGGTGTAAACATTTTAGTGTAATTTTTACATCAAAATAACTTCACATTCCTTAAGCCCTGCTCACACTGGGAGATTTCAGCCACTATTTTGTCATCCGAGACAAGTTTGGGAAATCCTAGAAGATTCCTGAAATCTAGGCTAAAATCTGTGCTCTTTGATCGTGGGTTTGACATGTTCACTGACAGTCCGTTGCGATCAGATTTTGTCTTCGATGAAGTTTTGGCAGTGTCAGAAGATTTCAATCACTTTCCTGCAGTTTGACAACAGCTGCGATGAGCGTCAATCCAAGAACCAATAGGAGCTCAGAATCTGATGACACAATCCATGCGACAATTCAAATGACCGTGGGGAAATGTCAAAACTTTTTTCTTCCTGGTTTTATTATTAAGACTCGCCGTGTGCGAAATTGTCGCTACAGATTGTTTACGCTTGCTGTGAGGATTCATTTCAGTGATAGTCACGAGTAGATGACGTTAAACTCCAGGAGGCGGTCGGCGCCAATAGCCTAGTGGTTAGTGCGTCGACACATAGCACTGAGGTGCTCGCAGCGACCGAGTTCGATTCCCGTCTCGAGGTCCTTTGCTGATTCTTCCCATATCGCTGCTCCCCACACTTTCCTATCTCTATATCTCCACTGTCCTATCATTAAAGGTGAAAACCCCTAAAAATAAATAAAAAAACTCCGGGGGGCGTTTTCTTCCGTGTTTGGCGCGTCCTCATTGTCGTTCAGTCTGACTTTATGACAGCTGAGATCTAACAGTGTGACATGGGAGCCATGTTGGTGCAGTCTGACATGCTACAATCGTTCAGGATTTAAAAAATTCTCATAGTGTGAGCTGGCCTTTAACAAGAAGAATTAAATCAGAAAAAAGAAAAAATAAGAAAAAATAAAAAAGGAGGAGAGGGTAATTTACATCAAATAAAAATGAAATAAAACGTTATTAAATGCACTTTTAGTACAGAAAATGCACGTATACAATGATCTTAGACATAAATGGTAAAGGAGGAGCATATATTAACCGTTTTAATTGCTTCTCTATTTTTAAATCACTTTTCTATCCGTTTAAATCTCTTTTTCTGACCTTCACACAGCTGTTCATGTTGCTTGTTAGCATGATGACGATGCTCCATTTTTTTAGTGGTTGGTTTTGTTATATTAGAGTGTAAAAGCTCAGTTTGAGAGTATTTCTTATCAATCAGAGCTCAGGAATGGTGCCGAGAGGGAGGACAGGATGAATGTGCGCAAGTCGAGCTTAGCAGCGCATACTAATGGAGAAGCATGAGTCAGTGTGCTCCAAGTCTGAGGTCTCGTAAGGTCCATTCAAACAATAACCAGTGCTGTTTTCTTTTGTTTCTCATACAGTTTAAGCTCAAACCCCAGGTGTTTTACACGAGCTCTGTTTAATAAATCTGAAGCAGTTTTAACGCCTCAGACATTCCTCAACTAGGTCAGCTTCATGATAATTGAGCATTTTTTCTCTGAGAGTTGCTTTGAATAAAGAAATGATTTGTTCCCAGTTTTATTCAGCATAATTTGGAGTTTGTCTTAAAAGTCTGCTGAAGCGGCTTGAAATGCACAGTTTTGTTCAACGTGTGACGTATTGAACAATTCAAAGTTTCAAGTGCTTAAAAAAACTAAGAAAACAAATCAAACACTTTAAAATACAATAAATTTTACAATTAAGTTTGTCATTCTGTTAATAGAAATACAATAAAATGTATTCTTGCAAATTTTAATGTATTTTCTCAGACTTAAATTTAATTAAAAAACAAAACAAAAACCAAACAAACCGAAATTTGACTTAAAATTCTGAATATATATATATATTCATATACATATATATATATATATATATATATATATATATATATATATATATATACACATATTATATATATATATATATATATATATATATATATATATATATATCCTCCTTTGTTGTGCTTATGTATCTTTTGTATTGCTCCTCACTGTTTTGTTCAAAAAGTATTTTTTATTTCCTTTTGTTTTTACTTTACAATAATAAAAAGAATTTCGATGCTTGTTCAAATTACTTTTTTGAAATGACCTGAATCAACACCATTGTTGAGTTTTTTTGAGACAACTAAATAGTTTTAATTTCAGTCCACTTGAATGTTAATAGTTAAATGAATTGATTTGTGTTGGGACAGCAGGAATGATATCTGTGGAACCCTGCATTTATTTACAATGTAATATGTCATTTGAATGGGTCTTGTGATGTAGATTGTAGATATAGGAGAAATAACACATGAGTAGCAGTGCGATATGTCCGATAACTCGGCACTGGTAGGCGTGGAGGCCTAATGCCTTGGTGTCCCACCAGTGACAATATAAAGCAATATCGTACTGCTATGAGTGTGATATTAAGTTTATACAACAGTTCGCCGGGATAATTGCGTATATAAACAATAAAAAATCCAACACAGAGAGTCTTAAAACCCCTTTGTATGAGGAACTACTTTCTTCCACTATTCACTAACGTCTGCTGCTGATGTCAGAACAGCAGAAACTGTTTACTGTTAATCCACACTTGCACTTTAGAGCTAGTGTTTAAATTATTTTCTAGCGTAATGTCTAAAGTGATGACAAAACAGCTGATTTTGCTCTCATTTTTAAGATTATAAGGCTGAACGGTATAAAATGTCATCAGTCTACAAAGACTTCCCAGTATTCCTCTGTTGCAATTGGGATATCACAATAATTAACCCCAAAATAGCCAAAGCAAAGCAAACACTAGCAGATTACTGTTGTGTTTGCGAAAAAGAAAAACGCTAAACACATGCGGGCATTTCTTCCTTTTTTTCTGTTTACTGAACTACACTACAGGAAACAGGAGACCCATTAGAAACAAACAGATGGCCAACCAAAAAAGTAACTCAGGGTTATACAAAGAGTGGCCAACACAAAATACACACATTCCTAATAGGTGAGTCCCACCTCACACTCAATACAATACACTTACTATAGTATAAATACAGCACTACAACTTGTTGAGTTGTAGAACTTGTTGAGAAAACTTAAATAGCTTGAAAAGCATGTTCATATGTGCAGCAGAAACATACCTGTTTGTATGAGAGGAGCACGGGCCGGCTGAAGACGATCCATTCCACCACTTTACTGCAGGGTGGTGTGGTCAGAGAGCCGATGTAGCGGTAGTAGCTCCCGATGGAGGACGGCAGCAGGTCTCTCAGCACAAAGGGCTCTAGAAAAGTCTCTTTCTCTGAAAACAAATAATAAAGAAGAAGTTTAATCTAAATGGTGTTTGCTGAAGCCTAAAGTGTACTTCAGCTCACAAATTCATCATCAGATCCTTATTTGTGTACTGCAGATGGTCCACACACATGCACATTGAATTGTTTGCTACTGCTTTGTTTGTCCACATGTAGTCAACACTGAATCGGGCCAATGTTTCCCACTTGGCAAAGAAATGGAGGAGAATGTCCAAGATCAACAACACACTAAACACAGCAAATTACTGCTTTTTTATCACAAACAGTTGTTTAATTCTACTAAAGGGCTCAATTGAAGAATGTTATCAGTCATTAAGGAACAACATATTCACCAAACACGTGAAAATACAATATCATGTCCAATAGACAAATTGCAATGCTTGAAACTTTCAAGATGCGTAGCCCTAATATATATATATATATATATATATATATATATATATATATATATATATATATATATATATATATATATATATATATATATATATATATATATATATATATATTAGGGCTGGGCGATTTAGCAAAAAAAAAAAAATCAAGGTTTTTTATTAAAGCTTGACCGATTTACGATTTTGATTTTTTTTTTTTTATTGTGTTACTAGTCTTCTCAAAAGATTACAACAACATGACTGAAGTAGCATTCTCTTTAAAAGTAACTTGAAAAACCATCTGGTTAAGGAACGTTGTATTTTTAATGGCCATGTCATACAAAAATCGGTCAAGTTGTTAATAAATGTAAAACAAATTCACAAGTTAAATAGCGTTGCTGAAGATTTGAATAAGAAATATTTGTGTAAATATTGCAGTTGCAGGAATTCAGAGGTATTTTTGCAAGTTTTTCTGAACCTAGAAAAGATTGGCTGTCAGCTCGGCTTTGGCTTTGTCTTCTGATTGAATGACAGGTTGTAATGCTGCTGCCTTTTTCTTAAAAAGTTACAGTAGAAGTAAAGGACTGAACATGGAAACTGTAAAGCCTAATTTAAACCAATGTGTGAAGTTGATGACGGATAGCAGGAGCAAATACCAGATGTGTATCCAATATAAAATAATATATTTAATCTATTTTTCTTTTTCCCCCTTTTAAATACAGATCATTTGATGCGCTTTGCTCCACTCTCTGTATTATGCTGCCTGATCTGTCTGGTTTAACTAGGTCCGCTAAATGACGTCATGGGGGCGGGTACTTTCATTTTCACTGCTATCTCTACTCGTTTTCAAACCAAAAGATGGGCGCGTTTTTTCACATGGCAGGCTTTTACATCCTTCATACATGTTGAGAACGAGTTTATCGACTTGATGAGGGAACCCTAGTAGCAAAGAATTCTGGCCCAGATTTGGCATAAAGCTGGCACAGCAGGCATTCATCCGGCACTGGCATACAGCATGTGGGCCAAACATGGCCCGGGTTTGGCAGAGGTGGCACCGTTTTTAAGGCGGCACACAATATTTGGGCCAGATGAAAAACGTAGTATTTGGCCCAGATTTAAAAATTTGATAAGTGGGCCATGTGAGTTTGGCCAGTCTTGACCCACATTTAAAATACACTAAAATCATTTTTGAGTAAAGAAAAAAAATTCTACCAATCAGGTCACTTTGAGAAAAAGCGTGCGCATAGTGTGCCTAAAGCGCATCACTCCATGGGTTTATCAATTTCAATACAATCGTGACACACCAACCTATCTGGCCCAGTTCAGGCCCAGTTATGAGTTATTAACTTGGCTGAGACTTAGCCCAGATATGGTCTGTGTTTGGCCCTTGTCTGGAAGCCAGGTTTGGTCCAGTCATGTACCGTAATTCACTGCGGCATGTGGGCCAAGCAAAACCTGATTGTGTAGGCCAGAGCTGGGCCAGAGAAATATTGCTATGTGGGAATATGTCTTGACAATCCACACAGACGTGCAACAAGTAAAATCCTACATGACTTCACGCTTTAACAGGCAGTCAAGCCGGTCACACACCAGAAGTGCCGCGACACGGCGCGCACATGACAGTTTAAACTATCACACACCAAACGCGCACATTTGCATGATATTTATGATGAAACTAATCAGATGGCGCTCTGTGGGCCAGAAATATGAACTGCTTCGTGAATCGTGGCTGGGCGGCGCCGGTGTGTGTATAGGAACCTGTTTAGAATTCTAAAATCCATGGCGCTGCGTGGTGCTGCGCGGCGCGTCGCCGAGAGGCGCTTCTGGTGTGCTTCCTGCTTCGAACAGAGAGTGAACCAAAGCGCATTGGTGCCATTATCATGTATTAAATATATATTTTTTTAAAAATCGCAATTTCTCGATTTGATTCAAAATTAAATTGTCTTAAAACGTAAATTCGAATTAATCGAAAAAATCTGAAAAATTGCCTAGCTCTAATATATATATACCCTGATAAGACTTTTTATACAATAATAAAATATCTTTTGAATAGGGAGGACTGATGTTTATTACTTAACCTATTCAGCCAGAGCTGCTTACAGAGCCGATACATTTTGATTGTTCTCCTGGTACACAAACTGCAGATTATATCATATATTATATCATTATATTATCAAAATATGAAATTTGAAAATCAGAATCAGTCACGAGAAGGATTTAATTATCTGTTATCAGTTCAAGTGTTTCATATAGTGCATCTCTAGTAAACACTCATATTTACTTTAGACAGTAAATCAATCTGGTTATGAAACTCAAATAAACAAAGAGAGCAGCTGTTATCTCTGTATTTTCCTAGAATTTTTCTTCCACTTGTTGTGACTGTTGCCAGTCCAAAAGCAGACACAGGCCAGACTAAGATGTTCGCGCTGAGGATGAGTTGTGCTTTTAGCGTTTAAAGCCACTCAATCCTCGAGAGGACACAATCAGCAGATTTCTACCCATAATCCTCCTCTGATTGAAACGCTTATCAGTTCCATCCAACAATGCCTGCCCAACATATGGCTGGCCTGGCGACACGATAAAACCAGAACTGATAAATTACACAGCTTTCCTCTTGAGTGCTTCTTGTTCTGATTTTCAAACATTTTGCCTGAAATCATCATGAACAGATGCGGAAAGCTGATTGGTTTGTTGCCGTAGTGGTTTTTTGTTTGACACATAAACAAAAGTACATGGCTAGCCCACTGACCCATATTCCAAGTCTAACATTGGGAATCCTGCTCAAAGAAGCTTAGCATGCAGACAGCATCTGATTTGGAATTGTCATTGTAGGTATCCCGCCCCCAAAAAAACTCAATGCAGACACGTCGTTGAGCCATCGGTACAATTCCACCTGTCGGAAATGAATTACCAATCAGAGCAGCTATGACCGGGCCAATGGAGACTTCAAAGGATCTCTACAACACTGAATTAATGGACTTGTAATACATTCCATTGAGGAACAGAGACCTCATTTCAGTGTTTTGATTTATGCGCCCTAGAGAAGTGACGCTCGCTTGAGTGAACAATACTTGTGTGTGGTCCACGAGGGGACGAACGTGAACTCGCAACACAACACGCCACTACCAATCACAGCAGGGTTTAGAGATACTGCAACCTGATAGCCGTCTCATTATCGCTCACTGTGAGCGAGCGAGCAAAATAAACAGAAGCGAGCGCTCATTTATATGCGTCTGGATGGCTAGTGTGTAAATGGGAAGCCTAACATGCCTTGTGTTGTGTGTATATTGAAGTTAAGGTTGAATGAATGGTAATCCCCCGAAGGTTGGACTGGGAATGCAGAACTAGAGAGAGAGAAGCTTTTGCTGTGCCTCGGTGGCATGGTAATGGATGCCACAGAGCACTTTTCTGTCACGCGCACACACAGCCACAGGGCAAACGCTCCAGTCACACATCCGTGTCTGAACCCAGCACGCCGCGGACTCTCTCCGCCACACGCAGTCCCGCTGCCGAAACATCTCTCAAGAGGTTACATCAGCTGCCGCGCACTAGGAGAATGTGCAGAGCCGGTACAACAGTCAAAACATTAGGATATTTTGCTCGGACTATTTCAGAAGGATAAAATCAAGCCCATCATTTGTTCTCATTAAATATCCAGTTTTAGACCGAAATGCATTAGAATTCGTTCATTTTCCTTCGGCTTAGTCTCTATTTCAGAGGTCGCCACAGCAGAATGAACCGACAACTAGTCCAGCATATGTTTTACACAGCGGATGCCCTTCCAGCTGCAACCCAGTATTGGGAAACACCCATACACACCATACCCATTCACACACACACACACACACACACACACACACACACACACACACACACAGGACGATTGACTGGAAGAGAAATGGTTGTGTCCAACTGAGCCTGGTTTTTCTCAAAAAACTTTTTCCTTCAATTTTGTCTATTGGTAAAGTTTTTTTTTTCTCACCACCATTGCCACTGGCTTGCTTGGTTGGGGAACTGCGCATCGATGGATTTGCTCTTCAGTGTTTGGACTTCATTCAGTCCATCAGTCGGACAGACGGTTGCTCGACAATTGCATCCAACGGCTTTTCGTACGAGAACAGCACAGGCGCGAACGGAGCGCGTTCCAGAGAGGCGTTCGAGATGCGAAAAAAAAACCAAAAACTGCACAAATACGTACCTCCAGGGACATATTTCGTGGCGTACAGAAACGTCCACGGGATTACGTTTCCACAATGAGCCAGGGTTGGGATTTCCCCTTGGGGCACCAACAACAGGCACTACGTCATAATCACGCCCTCTACTAAGAGAAAGCTGATTGGTTAACGTGGCGGGAATGTCAGCTAAAGTGTTTGCGCAAAAACGCTCAACTTGCGCCACATCATTGACGCCATGTCATTCACGCCGCCTCATTTGTGCGTATCGTGCTGCATGATGTCTATCCGCATCTTTGCATCGACTTAACATGTAAATTACCTGCGCTTGACGCTTTATCCGCGAATGTGAATGCAGCATAAAGGTTTCAAAGCTTCTAAAGCAACCACTACTATCCCCGACCATCTCATGCTTAAGACCCCTTGCTTAATATAACCTCCTAA